TCTCACTTGGTAAGAATGCCTGACTTAATTTTTGTGGCTTCTTAAAAGAGCAATTTTTTAAAGGAAAAGAAAGGTATATGTAGGTGCTTTCCCTTTCTATCATGACAGTCATTTCTTACAGGCATAACATCATTTCCCCCGAGTTCTATATGCAGAGAATTTGGCAATCTTTTGAATGTTGTAAAGCACATACAAACTTTAAGATAAATACTAAAACCAACTAATAAAGGTATATGTGAATAAAGTATGATCCTAAGCTGTGATGAAGTCTTAGAAGTTGGGAACCTTCAGTGGCATATTCATTTTGAAACTCTGACCCCAAACAAGATGTACATGAACTTCAGTAAATCTCACCCATAGTTCAAATTCAAACAGTCTGGGGAAGGGGGTGGCCATGCTTGGTGGAGAATGGTGGAGAGAGGGAAAAAATAGTAAAATTACTACTAGCTATTAATTTCTAGATAATGATCCTATCAAACCTCAACATCACATATGTTACTTATAATACCGTTGAGATAACATATTCAGAAAGTTTATTTTTAATTATTAAATCATAGCTGTGTACATTAATGCAATCATGGGGTACAATGTGCTGGCTTTATATACAATTTGAAACGCTTTCAGCAAACTATTTAACATAGCCTTCATGGCATTTTCTTAGCTATTGTGTTAAGACATTTATATTTTACACCTAGTAAATTTCACATGTACCCTTGTAAGATGCACCGTAGGTATCGTCCCACCAATTACTCTCCTACCCATCCTCTCCCCTCCCCTCCCTCCTCTCCCCTTTCACCTTCTTCTTGGGCTATAATTGCGTTATAGCTTTCATAAGAATATCCAGAGAGTTTTAATGAAATATTCTAACCTTTCTGGAAGTTTTATGCTATAGGTTCCAGTTAGAGGAAAAGGTGAGTAAATTTCTATTAATTCTGAACACCAGCATATTTCTTACCCTCATGTCCGAACACAGGAAGAAAGAGAAAGAAAAGACAATCCAAATTTATGGATTTTTGTCTCTTAGAACAAAACATCCAAAAATCAGGGGCTGCACAGACTCAGTGGTAAGAATGAATAGGTTATTCAATAAAATAAATTTATAATCCTGACTCCAGCAGATTGCAGAAAACAGCTACAAATTATTTGTAGCTCATTTCATTGAGAGATGGAATCTCTTTTGTCCAACACTTGAATCTGAACCTGGCCTTGTGACTTAGGCCAATAGGATATTGAAAATATAAGAAGAGATTTGAAAATATAAGACTAGCAAATATTAGAAATGAAAGAAGGGACATGAAAAATGCTCATGAATTAGGACTTGTTCTTCCTTGTCTCTTTCTGAGAACCCTCTGCCGCCAGCTAGGGGACAAAGGCCAGGTAGAAAGAGACCTCAGCTGTCCTGTTTATCCCAACTTTTCCAGTCTCTCCATCTTTTCCAGACACTCTGGCTGATGGCCCATACACGTGATTAAGCCCAGCTAATAATACCATGTGGAAAAGAGATGAGCCAGCCCAGCGGAGCTCCACCCAAACTGCCTACCCACAGTATTACAAACAAATAAATGATTGTATTTTCAAGGCGCTAGGTTGTGGGGTGGTTTGCTCCATAGCAAAAACTCAGTGCTACACTGCCCCATTTGTAAATCAAACATGAGAAGTCTCATTTTTCTACTTTTCTACTCATTTTGTCAGCTCTACAGAGATTCTTCAGTAACAAGGAAGGAGCACAACATGCTGGCTTTGCTGGTCACTGTTCTGGAAGGGAATGTCTAGTCTTCAAAACTAGCCAAAAACAAAGTCCCAGATGATGTGGGGGATGGGGGCAAGGGGAAGATAGGATCTGTAGAAACAAAGGGATAGACCCTCTCTTATAAGAAGTATTTCGATTATAGTAAGTAAATTTTAGCGAGTCGGGCTAATGTGAATCAATATGACAAGTCTTATATACTACAGAGTCTTAGATCTGAAAGTTTTACTGAGGTCAGACACCTGTCTTGAACCAACTTGTAATGCAATTTTAAATTGCCTAGAATAGACCAGGCTTTGGTGCTCCAGTGCTGAGAAAGTATTGTAACATAGGCAAAAAGTGAACTTGTGGACAGAAAGTCATGCTGCTGGGTGTGCGACACACAGCTTGTCCAGTGGATAATGAACAGAAATAAGTCCCAGGAGGCTTCCATCCTTACCCTTATAGGATATACAACAGCTTCTTTGACTAACTGCTTGGCTGCATCAAGTCCAATAATGTCATTCCACTTTATGTTTGGATTATGGAGATAAATGTCCTGCAATGCACATTTGATCATTTTGTTAAAACTGATGCTTTCCTCTACAGCTCTAATAAACATGGCAGCAGCAGAAACTTGACTTATAATAGGATATAAAGCACTGGTGATAAAAATTTTCATAGTAGATATATGTATATATCTACATTGTAATTTGAGGTTAGTTCACCAAAGGCGTGCCATGAAAATATTCAATGATTTTTCCCTGAAGAAGAAATTGATAACATAATATGGTACTTTTAAGGGGGGGAAAAATCTTCTAACAATGGTCTCTACCCATCTTAAGACAATAGTAAACCATGCTGATTTATGACCATAATTAAAGAAGCTACAGAATATGCCTTCAAATTACATTAGGTTTTCCTGCACGGCATAGTTCCTAGCCAGTGCCTGGCCTTCCTCTTGCTCCTTGATCTCGCAAACACTTTCTTAATTTGTTGCATAAAAGAGATAATGCTCCTCTGAAACCAATTTCTCTTTTTTCCCTAGTGATCGTTCCCGACATCCAGCAGGAACAATTGCTTCTGCAAAATTCAAGGAAGCTGACAACCTAGTGAAAGTGCAGTTTTTCCCCTCTTATAGTAGAGCCCTATAGCAACCATTGAGGGTAATCAATTAAGGCAGCTTTTACTGATAACTAATTTACAGTTTCCAAACTTCAATTTCACAAGATGCCTCAGAATAGTCACTAAGGGGCCTTTCTCAGTAGGAGCTATTTCAGGCAAACTGAATATCTAGAGTGTTGTATG